GGTTGGGAAGGTATCTGACTGTTAGAACGCGAACCTATTGACGCATTCTCAAAGATATCGCACGCAGATCATCAGGTCATGACAACAACTGGGAGATGGTTTGATTAACAGGTCGACACTGGGTGCAGGCAGTACAAAGTTCCTGGAAATATTTCAACGTGCCAGTGTGAATGAAGTTGCGCTTCAAAATTCTTCTCTGACACGTCAATGACCACCGGTCTGCTGTGAGGTACATATTATGTTTGCTGTTTAACGATGAGGACCAATGGCGTGCTCATTTCTAATATCTGTACAGATAAAGGCGACATCCGAGCGCTACATGCGCTCTAATCACAATTTTTTTCCTGTGAGAAATAGCGATTCACGCCGTCTGGTACATTGCGCAGACGGTGATATCCGGAATTCGAACATGGAACATGACCGCGCAGTAAGCAACCTCATCATCATCAGGTATCTGATTGTTAGACACTTGAACGCATGTCTACCAGCTAGATCCAGGCTCAGTGACATCGCACACAGGATTCTGTCGACATGGTCATGAGAATAATTGAGAACTTAAGTGGTTAAAAGCTTGACTCTACTGCGAGTTGACTTGGATTTCGCAGTGAGCACATTCTCCTCAGTATTATGACACCGTTAGAACGAGCGATACTCCAGCGTGTAGGAGCCGCCGTGATCCAGAACTTCTGTGCGACAGCTATCACTTGTGTGTTGCAGGGTGAATCCTACTACGTTTTCTGATTCAAAGATGAGGGCTAATCGTGCATTGACTTTTGACCATCTATGCAGGGATTTATTGTGGTGTTTTCGTTATCTATTTACTACATGTACTGTATGTCATTTCCTTTGATGCTCCAATACTCATCCAAGCTGAATTGAGAGGTTGCTATGAAGTCGACAGGGACTTTCCGCTCGCTCTACGAAGATCACATTTATAGTGTCTTCAACATGTTTCCTTTGCAACCTCGCCAGCGTCGCCTGCGAGATCTACGCAATATTTCTGGAACTCCGTGGATTCCTGATCGACTCAGCGGGGACGATCGACATTCCTCTGATCACTACCATCGATAATGCGTTGAATGGGCCCAACATATATCAAACGTGGTTCCTACAAAGCATGGTATGCTACAAACGAAGATCTGATTGGGGCGCTGATACACATATATTTTTGGTTATGTGGCAGATTGTGGCTGTTGACTGCGTTGTCGTCTGGAGAGCTTGGGCGGTTAATTTCGATCGCAGGTGGATCATGACATTCCCATTTCTGCTGCTGGCGGCAACATGTGGTAAGTTCTGGTTTCGCCAATCGCCAAATTCCGCGACCTGATTTCGCGTAATCAACTTATCAAGGATTATCACTGGCAAGCATGATATTGCAAATGGATGTTACTGTCGTAGAAACCGCTGCCTCCGAGGACAATCTTCTCGCTGCAGTTGAGAATGCTTCTCTGATCACTTCCCTGGCAACAAATTTGGTAGCTACCATGATGATTATGTGGAAGCTCTGGTGAGTATTCGACATATGGTTCACAATTTTACCCGCAGCGCTCGATATTCATTGGTTTAGGGAACATCGAAGAGCCCTTAGTCCATTATTTAGGAAACATCGAAGAACCCTTGGTCCATCAAGGCGTCGAATTCAGATATCAGGTGTTAGCAGAGTCCTGCTTGTCCTTGTCGAATCTGGAGCTTGCTACGTTGTGTTACAGGTAAAGTACATTGATGTTGACAGACGCAATCACTTACACAGTTACGCAAGGCTGTCAGTATAGCTTCTGCCTATGTCGGTACGACCTATCCCCTGTTTGAGCAGACGATTGGAGATTTCTTTGAAGCCACTGCGGTGAGTGGAATGTCAATAGTAGCCGATTTTGCTTAGTTTGCCTTCGACCCCTGGCAGGCAATGTATATCGTCCTAGTTACACTTATTATTCGGACACAGCGATCTGATATCACCGTCGTTTGCGAATCCAGCACACTCGGGAGGCAGGTAGACGTGGAGAGTGTACCTAACCACATCGAGGCTCAAAGGATACTAGGCGGTTAGGGTGAAGGTCGCCCTGTGGAGTCCTTCGAGTAAAGCCCACTTTTAATGACAATGGTAGAGAGCATTCAAATCAGTATATGATACTCGCTATGTTGCTTTCAAGGCCTGCCTGATAGATGTAATTTGATTTGCGTTTCATTTGGAGGTCCTAGAAGCTTGTTGCTAAGTCGAACCATTCGAAAAAGATGTCGCAAGCATGCCAGTAGTACTATCGATATCCAAAAAGCGTCCGCTACGACTACGATTCGGGTACGGGGAATCGAACCCCGAGCTGCCGCGCACTGAAGGATGAGAGGCGGCAATGTTAGCCGTTACACCATACCCGATTAAACCACAAGAACTGAGGAGTAGTGCAGAGAGCACCCAATGGGTTTGTCATGTCGAGAAAGACGGTAGCCGCGCATCGTATCAACGACACACAGATATCGGTAAGATGTGCAGCCTGCGTGCCAGCCCAGTATTGGACAGCTCAAAAGGTAAGGCCCTATACAGATTAAGTCCTAGATGCATTAAACAGATCAAGTAGCAATATAGGTAAGTAGCGTACGATAATCATGATCATGATGTGCTGTCCCGCCCCGGTGCGCCGTGCACTCAGGCTATGAGACGATAAAAGCTAAGAAGACATATATGCCAACCGCCCCCGCCAGCAACCTAATCGCCAGAAGAATTCGACTGTCCGATGTACCTGCGTTGTAGTGCGTACCGGTGGATTGGAGGAGTATAAACACAGAGTTGGCAGGCGTGTGTTCGCCGTAGCAGAACGCTTTGTAGATGTCGGTGGGAGATCCTGTCAACAGTACAAGTATAAACGTAAATGATGTGTTGGTAGCGATGGACGTGTACTGACCACCGATGATAAAGCTTAACGCGAACCCTATGATATACAGCACCACGAAAATAGCGGCTTGGAGGACGATTAGAGGCAGGAGGAGGATCCATGGACCGAAGAATAGAAGTAATGATATGAAAAGCGCCGTATATGGGTATCTTTGTACTGTTAGGGTACCCGAGGAATTGTAAGTGCACATCCTGCAGAGACATAGAACAAGGATAGGGCTTTACATGGTTGGTTGAGAGTATGCAGGACACTAGAAAGCCACTGGGTGAAATTACTCCAGTTTTCATTGAAGAAATGGCCTACTCGGTAAAAGGGAATGGAAGGGCGCTCAAGCATTCAGGATATTGAAATGACGTACCTATCTGGGCACCTAACTGCTCAAACCATCGAATGATAGCTTCGAGGAGACCTTCATCCTCAGTTTCGTGTCCACGGAGGAAGGTGGGCGGGAGATACATTGCAACTTAGGTGGGTGAAGTTGGCGTGGGTCGACGCGGTGCTTCTTGGCGCTTGGGCTTAAGTCGAGTCATGAGCTATTTCGGATTTGTCCGGGTATGAACCGTACGGCTATTGACACGTTGCATAATTAAGTGAAAGGTCGGAAAATGCGGAAGTAGTTTTCGGTTTCTACTTTGCATTTCGTTCCTGGGAGGTAACTGGCTGCGCAAGCGTCCTGAATTCGAAATCCTGGAGTGAAGCGCCAATTACAACACAGCCACCGGATTGTGATCTCAGCCAGCGCTTGCAAAATGATCACTATAAGACTGTAATTATTGTCTGGTCACAGATGTACTGATAATCGTGGGACTTACCAGGCCTCACACAGTAGTTTGGTCACTGATAATTCCACAGGGACTGCTTCATGAGTGCATGAGCGCTGAATCGTGATCGTTGCGAAGATGAGTGGTGCGATAATCTAATCTGATCCAAGGTAACTACAGTAAGCCAGCACTTCCATTTTCCAATACAACCATTACTCTTTGCAATACGACGTCCATACGCCCTTCCTTTTTCCAGCGACTGTGGAAATCAATGACAGGCCTAACTAAACCTGCCACGTCTGGCCAGATTCCCCTTCGAATTGCAGTCGTTCAGCTCCGTCCAAAAGTTCGTTTCGATTTCAAGCCTCTTGTTTGAAAAGTCTAGCTATTATTCACCCTGAACCGGGCTCTTCAGATTGGAGAAGTAAAAGCCAATATTTCCAAAGCTCGAGAACTGTGTCTTAAGCACGTCCAATAGTTTGAACCTAGGGAGATTGCCATCTAATAACTTTGGATCAATTATAGACTCCAACCGCACTCCATCGATCTCCTATGCTTACCGGAAATGGCGTTTACTGGTGAGTTGCATGTACAATTACACCAGACATCCACATTCTCAATCTGTCAAAATTCCACCAGGTTACGTGTTCGACTCCGCAGAAGCCATTTCACCATACCTGGAGGAGCCAAAGACGGGCCCCAGTTCTCTGTTCTATCAAGAAATTGCGAAACATTTAGGTTGTTTCGTCTTCGGTGGATATCCTGAACGCCTCTCGGACGAGGAGAAACGCATCGCACCACTGTCTGAACCACAAACTCGGCGCGTCGCGGATGGCGCATTACCAGCTGAAGGGATGGTCATTCCTCCGTCTAATGACGGGGGTTCGCCTGTGGCATCGCATCTTACAACGACCCCGCCTCACATTCAAGTCGGCGCGAATAGCGCAATCATATACGGGCCATCGGGCGAATGGGTTGGAGGATACAGAAAAACCAATATGTTTGAGACTGATATGACTTGGGCGAAACCAGGTGCAACATCTTCCATTATTCCTCTTTCCCGGCTTACAATCTCATGCATCTCAAAGGAACTGGCTTTGCCTCGTTCTCCCTTACCCTTCCATCTATGACAACGTCTTCTCAATCTACACCTTCGACAGACATAGAGACCCCTTCACCCTTGAAAATCAGCCTCGGAATCTGTATGGACCTCAACCCTCACCCTCCAAGCGACTGGGAAAGCGCTTTTGGGCCATACGAACTCGCCGATTACTGCGTTCAGAACGAGACGAAGCTCCTCGTGCTTCTCAATGCATGGCTATCCTCCGGGCTCGATGAGAACGGGGAGGAGATAGAAGGAGCAGGAAATTCCGGGGCCGCTGGTCAAGGTAGTGGTACGGGCGACGGCGACGACGCTGAGTCGCAAGAGTCTGATTGGTGCACCCTGCAATACTGGACAGCACGCCTCACGCCGCTATGGAAACGTGATAGACGACGGAGACGAAGCGATGAGACTATTATGTCTGGGAGTTCATCTGGCTCTGTTGGCAGCGCCGATAGCGAGCCGAAGGGAGGAGAGATGGTAGCAGAGGAAGAAGACAAACCACCACACGAGACCATCGTTGCCGTTTGCAATCGCGTCGGGAAGGAAAACGGTATGATCGTTTGCTGCATCTAAAGATTTGGTCTATGAGTTAATATTTCGATTCAATAACCCCAGGCAAAACATTTGCAGGCTCGTCAGCAATATTTAGCATGCGTGCTGGATCAGGGAGGCCAAAAGTTCTTGATGCGATGGGTAGGAATGAAGAGGGCGTTCGGGTCTGGAATCTACTCGTCTGAACTATAGAGTGTGTAATATACCACTGCTTGCTCTAGGATGACCACGAAGATATAATAAAATTACATCATATCATGTCACACTCGTGGATGGACTCTACAAAGCCTACGCATGACGTCGACGATATCCTGTGCTTCGTCTTCATCCACAACTTTTCCCATTAGTAGTTTTTCTACGTCTGCGCTTATGACGGCCGACGTTTCGTTCATGCGCTCCGTGTATCCAGCCGTTGTGCTACTCAAGGATAAATTGATGAATTCAAGTTCCTTGGCCATTGAACATATCAACTTCTCCCTGTATGTTATGCGTGAGCCAGAAAGAGGAATCTATCTAATGTTTCTTTACCTGATCTGTGTAGTTGTAGGAGCTGTACCCAGAGCATCCCAAACTCGGCTGTCGCGAGACATCAGAATTCTATACAGTGCCTTTCTAATGGCGTTGAAACCATGTAATCGTGAATCCATCTGATACCATCTTCGTGAATTAAAGAAGAAAGGTGAGATAAATTCAACTCACTGGTATCTTGGCAGAAAAGGATACCTCTAGTTCGGTCACGATGTCCGGGACCTCCGAGTCGTTGGATGCTAAACGGTTGCACATGTTACTCAGTACCATCTTCGTGTGAGAAACGACCTCACGTACATCCGTCGAAGTTGTGTGGTGGCTTCGTTGATCCAGTTTCAAGGACATCTTTACATTCAATGATTTCAACTTCGTCATCACTCGGTGAAGGTCGATTCAGTGGAGCAACAACTTGTTTCATCAATGGATTCTTGAACGGCTTGTTGAGACCCGACGTTGACGCATGGGGTTTGGTGACTATTCTCACATAAAATGAATCGACAGATCGCAGAAACCTAAGCATGCTTAGTAGGCTTACCAAGTGCTGGTGCAAGTGGAACTTTAGCTTTCTTCGCTCCGTTACCAAGCGCTTGATGATCACTCTCCGGTGCTGCACGTTTCGTCGTACCGTAAAATCTTGAACCTGAGGTTTGCCCCATAGAAGTGTTTGCCCGACCATGAGAGCCTGGATCCGGAGGTTTCACAGGCCTCCCGCCGGCTGAAGCATCGAATCTACAAGAAACTTCTGTCGATAGTTTTCTGATAAGACGTTTGGCCTTCTCGGGATATTTACAAACCTGACAGGCAGTTAGTTATTCTGACTTTCGGCATGTCAACATATGAGGCACTTACGTCGCACATGCGGTCACAATACTGACGGACAAGTGCGGCATCTTCGGTATCGATTTCTTCACCAAAATACCGGCAGATTGACTAGGCGACGTAAAGTCATTCAGAAAGGATTCTAGAAAGAGAAGAAGTAATTGGGACGCACAACATGTCTACACGTGTCGACATTCTCGGCAAACTTAAATAGCTGAGGGAAGCTTGTGAGACGCGATACCCTGGAAGTTTTAAGTTCCTGCCGTGCTCACCGCAGCAAGACTTTGCTTGGCCCTTTGATTTGGCGGCGGACTCTCAGGATCCAATCGTGATTCAGAAGGGTTATCAATCCACTGTTGAACCTCACGAGCGTCTTGACGTGCTGAAAGACAGATATGGTAAGCTATTGAACGAGTACGGTCCTGAGGGTGATTACAGTAATACAGTATGCATTTTGAGGGCTCAAGAAAAGCAAGGTAAGCGTCTTAAAATTTCAAGAGGCAATGATCAAACTCACAGCGCCGTCGCGTCCAGCACGCCCTTTACATTATATCGTTAACTGTGGTCCACATACTTAGATATTTAGTAAACCAACCCGTCTCCTGATAATAACCTATAAAACCGAATGATTATCACAGGATCATTATGAATAGTAGCAAAATCCACCTTCAAAACTCTTGGGCAGGTCGTAGTGAAGAATGTACCTGGAAGACGTTCAGA